ATTGACAGAACATTTCATTCAACAGACACAGCTATATACTCTTCTAAGGAGCCAATGTACTGGTCTAAAATGTCACATTCTAGGCCACAAAGTCAAGTCTTACCAAATACAAAAGAATCAGAATAATTTCTTGTATCTGATCAGATCATAGTGGCATAAGGTAGAAATAAATAACAAGAAAGACTACATTAACTACACAGACACATGGAGACTGAAAAATACACTCTTGAATGTCCAATGGGTCTTAAAAAAATGAGAGAGGAAATTTAAAAATTCTTACAAGCAAATAAAAACGGAAGCACGATTTACCAGGAGCTTTGGAATACTGTTATGGCAAAGGATCCTAAATAAATAACCTAATTATGTAACTCAATGTCCTAAGGGAGGAAAAAGAACAATCCAAATGCAAAAGGAGTAGATGGCAAGAAATTAGAAATATCAGGGAAGAAATTAATAAAATGGTGGCTAACGTAACAATGCATTGAATCTGCCAAACAAAGAAGAGTTGCTTCATTGAAGAAATAAAAAAGATTCACCCCCTTTTACAAATCTTGGTTTACTATTTACTCTTGTGTCTCATGGCTTCCTTTGGGATTGATGTTTTTAATCTTTTAGGAGCATTTTTACAAATTGCACTACAGTGTGTTTATCAGAGATGAATTTTCTGGTGTTTTTCTGAGTCTGAAAATATTTTGAATGCCTCAGTGGAAATTTGGGCTTAACAGTTATTGCTCTGTTTTCTTGCTTCCATTATTGCCTTGATAAGTGAGCAGTTAGGTAACTGCTGCTTTTCCGTAGGCAACAGAAAATAAAAACAAAAACAAAAGCAGGAATTACCTGTTCTTTCTATGATATTTGTGTTTACTCTTTGTTCATTGTTAGGTTTTTCTTCCTGCCTTAGGTATTCTGCAGTTTCTGATGCACCAAGGTATAGATTTCTTTTTGTTTACCAGGCTTAGCATTTTTTGAACTTCTTTAATCCAAGGGTCTATGTCTTCAGTCAGTTCTAGAAAATTTTAGCTATTGCTTCTTTAACTTTACTACATCATCCTCATTTCATGTTGTTGTAATCTGTGTAAGACTGTCTTCCTCTTTAAGATAGCATTTTCCTTACTCTGCTTAAAAAGCAACTGCTATTGTATCATTATACTTGTAAATGTATTTATTGATCCTTACTGCTTACTCATTTATTAAATATCGTATCTTAGCAATAACTCAACATTAATGTGTCAGATTCTCTTCTAGGTGCTGAACATGTGTTATTGACTAAAAAAGAAATGGTGTAGCGCAAAGGGAGTGAGAGCACTGAGCATTTTAGTTACTGCTTCATGTAGGCTGCTTGTGTCTTCTGGGCTTTCCCAGGCATAAACAGGAACATATAACTTTAGATTATCTTAAGTGACATAGAGAAAATAGAGGCTTGTTTTTCCATGTCCTCTGACCTGTCTTGAAGTCTTACTATGTTACCCAGCCTAGACTGGAATATGCTCTCCAGCACCTCAGCCTCTAGGGAGTTGGGTGTCCCAAACACGGCTTTTAACTTCCTTTTTTAGAGACAACTTCTTCAACCTCAGTACTATTTTGCATATAATAAACAAATCTACATTTCTGAAATAACTAATTTTTCCTATATTTTGAGTTCTTATAGTTTTGGTTGTGAGCCTAGCCTTTAACGGCTGAGCCATCTCTCCAGCCCTATTTTGAGTTCTTTTAAACAAGTCAGTATATTTAAAAACCTAAAGGGCACAAATATAATTGTGGACCTGATTAAAACGCTGTCACAAAACCCACAATTATGGTGTTTTGCCAGATATGTAATAGAAAATAGAAGGTGTATAAATGTGAAATTCTTTCTGTAATCCCTAAATCTTTCCTCCTGGTACTTGGTCAAAAGCACAAGTATCTTCATGCTGTGGTCTTCAAACTAACCTAGACTTTTCATCTTTGAAGATGAAATATTTGCCATGTGTCATCCTAAGTAACAATGTGGAGGTTTGCATGTGTGTTTTCTTTGCATTGGGCATGTGCTGATCTAACCTGTGTGAGTCTTACCAGTACTTACAACCATGAGAAGATCACTGATTCGTGACAGTGGAACTTCAGGGGACTCATTGGTGTCATTTACCAAAACGTTTGGCTGAGCAGTGCTTTACATCAGAGACTCAGAAGACAAGTCTTTTCATTACAGGCACCTGAATTACATACGGTGTTAGTTATTTTTCTCATCTCTGTGACCACGTACCTGACAAGAAGCAACTTTAAAGAGAGAGGCTTAATAAACATTAGGGCTTATAGTTTGAGAAGGGAAATAGTCTATCACAGTGGGGAACACATGGTGGCAGGAGCCTAATGTCACCTCATTATCCACTGTCCGCATGTAAAAGACACGGGGTCTGGCTCCCCAGTCACAAGGCCCTTCATTTCCTCCGGCAAGGCTCCACTTTCCTGTGGATTCAGTGGACCTTCCCAAACAGTTCCAGTAGATGAGGGCCAAGTGTTCAAACACATGAAGCTAGAGGGGACAGATCACATTCAGATCACAGCTCCTGGTATCAGCCCATTTACCCATCAGACCATTGAAGCGTACCTTACATACAATGCACCTTAAGTGCTTCAGTGTCACACATCTTGACAACTGCTTAAATAAATCCTTGTAGCATTCACAAAAAAACAACATGAGCTTCCCCGTGAATCCTTCCTTCATAGCCCTTTCCAGCCAATCTTCACCAAAGCAATTACTTTATGTATTTTGTTATGACAACATGACTTTGCCTCCTTTTGGACTTCATGTGGATGGAATATCCATTACTTTCTTTGTGCTTAACTGATGGCATTTAAATATTTTCTAATTAACAAACTCTTTTCATTTTTATTTGATCTAATGAAAATAACTTTTAAGACGATCCTCAAACACTTTGTCTTGAATTGACTATTTGTCTTGTTTACTGGAAATATCTAGGAGCTTGAAATATGCGTATTAAGAGCATAGGTCTCATGGGTGAATCACATGAGGTTTCATATTGCCATTCCAAGTCAGGAAGTGTTTTAACCTTTTCTGTTTATGTGGATTGACTGTAGCATTCAGCTGAGCAGTTTAACTCATAAAGGCATAAACCTGAGAGCCAAAGGGGTTTTCTGCAATCACCTAACTGCTCCACTGTCATTGGACATCAGGTCTCAAGCAGCCATTGTGCTAGATGGACCTGGAAGATAGAGTCACAAATCAGATGAACAAGTGGCCTGAAGGATTCATAGCAGGAGAGATAGAAGACAGACAAGAGGTCATGTGATGTGTTAATCTGACTTTGTCAGAAGGTCACAGAAGATAGTCTCTAACAAAGGATGCTTAGGTGAAGATGGGAAGAATAAACAGGAGTAAGCCAGTGAAAAGGGCAGAAAAGAAGAAAGGAGAGATAAGGAGGGGAGGATTGATCCGGAGGGACCAGAATGGGCAATTGTAGGGAGGTGACACTGTTAATACCCCAGGGAACTGAGAAGCTTATGACTGAAAGTGGTCATAAAGACAACAAAAATTGCAAAAGTAGCAGAAAATTCACAGCCAGGTAGAAGTCTCTAATTAGTTCTGACCTCACAAGAGCCTCCAAAGTGTTTCAAGTGTGCTGTTACACAATCATACTTGCAGAAGCTTCTTCTATGCTGGGGAGCATGGGCTAGAAAGAAGTCAGACTGAGCCATTGCTTGAATGAACAGAGTGATGGAGCTAGTGAGAAGCAGACTAGACTAAGAGATAGTTCAACGGTGGTTACGTCAAGTTCTGGGAGGCAGTAATGGACATTGAGGAGAAAGATAACTAAAAGGTTCTTCACAGGTTGCCTGTTTAAGCAACCAGTCATTTGGTGGTACTGTTTCCTGAAAGGAGGAATGCCCATGAGAACACATTATGTGTGTGTGTGTGTGTGTGTGTGTGTGTGTGTGTGTGTGTGTGTGTGTGTGGTGTGTGTGCTCGCGCATGCGTGTGAGTACATGTACAGAGGAGAGAACCATGAACAAAAATGTTGGACCAATTTTTAACAGCTTTTCCTGTTGCTCATAAGACACTTGTATAGCCAATGGCAACATCCTGCAATGCATGGCAGAAGCTGAGGAGAGAAAGAGGTTGACTGGGTACACAAATTTGATGATGATCCACAAAAAAATAGCTTTTGAAATTGCCTACAAACCAGATAACTTTTAGAGATAATTAATATGTTGTTGGTGTAATATGTAGTGAATTTCATAGTAGACTTGTTCTAGTCAAGCAAGCTCCAGAAAGCATTGGATAACATTTTTCTATTGAAAATGTATAAGGTACAGGAGTGAATTAAGTCCACCAGTGTCAAAATGAGTTTCAATTAACACAATGCAGAGTCTCACAAACACCCCACTGCCATGTTTATTAAAATGTGATATATGTGCTGGCAAGATGGCTCAGTAAGCAAAGATGCCTGCCACCAAGTTTGACAAACTGAGTTTGGTCCCAGGAGCTATGTAGTTGAAAGAGATAACCGACCCCCATGGGCTGTTTGACTTCTGAACAAACCCAGTGGCACATACCCCTCCAATAATGTGATAATTTTAAAAATCAAAAGAACACAAATTACAAAAAAATAGAGCATGTGTATGTTAAGTGCACACAGAGGAGAGAGGAACTAAGCCCCACTAGCCTTTGCAACGCTGTTTCAATTAAGTTGACCCTGGGTAATGTGTACTCTGGTTCACTTCCCTGTGGTCTCATAGGAAGCAAGGAGTCTGTGCACAGACGTGTGATACAACTAAGGGTCTTGATTTGCTGAATGCTTAATATCAGATTTAGAGATCATCCTAGGTTCGATGTTCTTCAAATTTTATTCTTTTTTTTCTAAACACAATTTAAAATGTGATGGTGCTATTTTTGGGTTCTAAAATAATTGACAATTTTCTTTTATTGTAGTGCTATGTGACAGAAGATGTTAAGTCACTTAGTGAAATTTGGAGCCTATTCTCCTCTTTCCTTCTTTTACAGATTTGGAAAGACTGTGGCCACCAAGTCTTTTAAGTGACATAGGAGGCTAGCGTGTGAAGGTATGCAGTATTTGCTTAATTAATCGGGATTGTTTTAGAACTTAGCAGAGGCAGCTGAGTACTGTATTTAAACAAACTAACTAGAATCCTCTTGATGGTCTCACTGTCTCACTTACATCTATGGTGTTGACCTTTAATGGCATCAGGGTCTCTCAGATGAGCACTGAGTACATGTTTTACAGTATTCTCTACTCTGTGCATTCAAGTCTCTTTTAATGTAAAGCTTGTTGTCTTAAACTCACTGACCGCGAGTCATTCTAAACCTATGTCTCTTCATTTCCTGACTTGCCTCTTGGCATTAATGTATTAATTCTCTCAGGAAGAATTTATTGTTTTTAAAAATGCAGCTATTGCTTCACGTCCTGGGGCAGAATGGGGAAAGACAAGAATTTGTAGTTATCTTAGAATCCAACAACAGCACCATCAACTTTGAAGCTGCCTCAGGAAAGAGTGCAAATATGAAGGGCATTGAACCCAAGATCTCCTGTTAACCTGGTGTTAAGCATTCAGCAAACCAACACTGGTTCAGATGTTTCCTTCATCCCTCAGTTCTATCTCTCCCTCCTTCCCTCCCTCCCTCCCTCCCTCCCTCCCTCCCTCCCTCCCTCCCTCCCTCTCTCTTTCTCTCTCTGCTCCACCCCACTCCTGTGACTGATTGCCCCAGAGCAGTTCCCCATGTCCAACCTGGATGGTTGCAACATCCCTTATCTGGTGCCCCTGTCTCTTCTTTCATCCATCTCTGGTCTTCAACCTCCTGCTAGCATTATCTTTTTAAGGCCAAAATCTGATCAAGTACTTCTACTTTCCATCCATAATCACCATTGTTTATGGTGATACACGATCTTTGAGTGGATTTGAAACACTAATCTGATTTCATGTATCTCTATAATCCCATTTTCCAGTTCTTTCTCCACTCCCCTCTAAACTTCTTCAAGAGACACTGTTAACTTGTTCTCTGTCCCCATGCTCCATGCCTATTCTCCATGTCCTGGCTTACAATGCTTTTTCTCACTTCCTTTGTCTTTATTGTTATTAAAAATATGCAATAAACTCACATTTCTCCAAATAGATGGAATATCTTTTCCATCATCACTTCTGTTTATTAAAGTGCTAGTCATGCTATGAAGATGAAATATGTGTGCCCACCTATCCTACTATAGATTATGATCTTCTAAAGGAAATGTCTGCAAACTTTTCCTTAAAGGACCTTATAGGCCAGTCAAGTGGATATTATTATGTCAACCCGTCAACTCAGCTGTCTACTGAAAACATTCATAGAACAACAGCAACAACAAAAAGAATTAAAATTCATAGACACCAAAGTAAAAGTGAAAAAAACCTTGTTTCCACAAAAGTGTACAAATATGAACACTTGAATGTAATATAATTTTTGTAACAATGAATAGTTCTCTTCTTTTTCTTTTCAGACAACCATTCAAAACCTTAAAACTATTCTTAGATCATACAAACAAGACCTTATCCTATGTTCTGTATTTTGATCACCCCTTTCCCAAATGACAGGTTGTTTCATATTTGTTTCATATTCATAGTTTCAGTACCATTGGTAACTAACATCATACCCAGCACTAAATGAATGTTCATCAAATTCAATGCATGGAAACAAATATAGATCATTTTATGGTATCTTCCATCACAAACTGTGGTGCTGTGATAGAAACTATTCATTAGTTAAAAAACCCGTTTTAATTTCATTCCCTGTGAAAAATCTTTCTGAAGTATGTGATTCCATTTTATGCCCTAATAAGTAAGACTTAGTGAATATATTTAACCATTGTGTTTCAGTTCCCCAAGACATAATAAATGATAAGAATTCTGTGTTGCCAGGTAACATAGACAGAGAAGCTAGAGCAAATTGAACCCCGAATGCCTACAGATGAAGATACTCCGGAAAACGCCTTTTTGATGCAGGAAGTAAGTATGAGATATGCTAATTTTGTAGTTCTCTCTCTTTCTTTTGGTGCACAGAAACTGAATGAATGCAGAAGAAAAAGAAACTAACTTATGATGTTATTGGCTGGATTCCTAACATAGGGATGGGAGGGTGAGGGCTGGGAGGGGGTCTTTCCTTTCTTTCCTTCCCTTTCCTTCCTTTCCTTTCTTTTCCTTTCCTTTCTTTTTCTTCCAGCATGGTGCCATGGGAAGAACATTCATCTAATTGGATAAGCTCAGTCTCTACTCTACAAAATATTTTTAAAATAATGATTTTATTTCTTCTTTGAAACTTTCATGCATGTATATAGTGTATTTTGATCGTATCTACTCAGCACTCTCTTCTTCCAACTTCCTTCCTGGGACACCCCAACCTGTCCCTCTCCTAACTTCACATCCTCTCTTATGATAAAAATAACGGTTATTGCTAATTGTAAGCTTGAGTCCAACTCTTAGTAGTGACATATCCACATGGGTGTGGAGCCATCCCCAGGGGCATGAGTAGCCTCCCAGCAGCTATGCTCCTAATAGAGAATGACTCTGTCTCCCTCAGCACCCAGTAACTGACAATAACTCTTACTTTAGAGGTGGGGCTTGGGGATCCTCTCCCCCACATGCTGGAACTTGAATTACCTTGATCTTGGGCAGGTCTTAGACAGGCAAGCATAGCTGTTGGTAGTTGATGTTTCCCAGGAGCATGCTGTGTATCCAGAAGATAGCATTTTACAGTTCTCTTTCTCACCCTCTGCTACTTACATTCTCTGCAATAGAAATTGTTAAATAATGTTCATATTAATCCCACAAAACTGCAATAGATTTAGTACAACACACATTGGACAGGTCTGCATAGATGGCATGCTTAGTGGGACGGGCTCACTCTACTTACTATGGCCATCTAATTATCCATATATTCAGAATTTGGTTTCATCTTTTACATTTTCCATCATTTCATTAAGGAAAGACCTCAGACAATGATCTTGATGCACCTTTGCATTGCTTTTATTTTTATAAATACAACTCAAGGGAGAGAAGAAAATTAAGCAAAGGACCCTGTGTGTCCCTGTATTTGACTTATCTGTGCTTGGATTGCCATCTTGGGAGAACTGCTATTATCTGGTCAATGAAATCTTGGACAAAATATAATCTGTGATAGAAAGTTCTAGACAAGTATAGGCTCGATTCTGTGGGCACTTCCTTCTGTTCAAGACACAGAGTATGGAAATACGTCCTAGTGGTCACGTGGGGAACACAATTTGAGAGACTGTCTGAAGGATCCTTTGATAAAACCCGTCTTATTCTACGTGATAATGCATTTGAGATTTCCTAAGAATTCAGTCTTTGGGGTTAAACATGCTCTCATCATACTCTGTTCTATATATTCACTCACAGGCATCTATCTAGTGCCAGTGAGGCACAAATAAAACTCTGAAATAAAACTGATTGAGCTATTTAGATGTCGCAGTTCTCCTAGAGAAACCTAATAATGACAATAATAGCTGACACCATACCTTAGACACTGCACAGAATAATTTATAGGTATGTTCTTACCTACTTAGCATAATAAACACAAAGGAGACATTTAACACCTACAAGTCTGATCCCAAAAAAGTGGACAGTGTTTAAGGAACTGGAACAGTTTTGGCTATGAAGTAAACAGATTTTGTAAAAGTCAGCTAAGAGGCATGGGGCCTGTCCTTAAGAAGGGTTTGTATCCACAGTGAGACTCCATTGGATAACTCTGATTTTCCATTTGTGGAGGGTTAGCTTCTGGGTTGGGGATTGGGGATTGGGGCTTGTGTTCCTTTCTTCTCTCGCAATGGGATCACATCCGGTGCAGACCTGTTACAGGTCCTCTGCATTCTGCCAGAGTCTTTGTGAGTTAATACACACATCAATCTCCTGTGTTTAGATGGCTTTGTTTCCTTGGTGTCCTCCAACCCCTCTGGCTCTCACAATCTTTCTGCCTTCTCTTCCTCAGGGTTCCAATCGATATCTGACTGTATTTAAGGCCCACTACATGCCAGGGAACCCATGCCTGACACTGCTCAGCTGACTAAGAATCTGAGATTAGGTAGGCCAGGGACCTGGGGAAAAACCAAATGCTACTGTTTTGCTAAAGGAATGTAGCAATAAAATGACTCCTAATGACATTCTGCTGTATTCATATAGATCAGTGCCCTGCTCAGCCGGCATCAGAGGGGCTTCCTCATGCCCAGATGGGAACAAATCCAGAGACTCACAGCCAATGTGCAGAGAGTGAGACCTTGGAACACGCAGTTGTTTGTACCATGTTTGCCAGGTTTTTTGTTTGGTTGTTTGTTTTTTATCTTACAGGCCCTTTGTGTATATATTACAGCTTCTGGAACTTCCTGTTTTGAGTTTTTATGGGATACCTGTGTGTGTGTGTGTGTGTGTTTCTTCATCCATGTGTTTCTTGTGCTTTTTCTTTACTTTTTTTTCTTCTGCTCGTTTTGTCTTATCCCAATTTGTCTGTTTTTGTTTCATCTTATTTTACTTTACTATCATTATCTAAATGTCCATTTGTTTTATAGTAAGACAGAAGGGTGTGAATTCAGATGGGAGGAGACTTGGGAACAATCTGGGACGAGTTGGGGGAAGAGAAACTATAATCAAAACATTGACAAAAATAATCTATTTTTAGTGGAAGAAAAAAATGGAAGAAAAAAGTCAGTTAAGAGTTACCTTAGTTGCTGGTTTTTTTAATTTTAAATTGCATTTAACTAGTGTGTGTGCGTGTGTGTGCGTGTGTGTGTGTGTGTGTGTGTGTGTGGTCATGCAAGCTATGGCACACATGGAAGTCAGAGGGCAACTTGCCTGAGTCCATCTCTCCTTCTACTATGTGAGTCCTAGAAATCAAACTTAGGTGATCAGACTTGGCAGCAAGTGCCTTAATCCATTGAGCCTTTTGACCAACACAGTGTTTGTTATTCTTAATATTGTTCGTAATTTCTCCCCTTCTCACCAACTTTGCACTGTTTCAATGTTCCAGGGCTCAGTCCTTATCTTCACTTCTGTGTTATCTATTTCCTCTTTGGTACAAACACTTACCCTCAGTTTTGGCAACTGAATACATCTTCACAGTTCCTTACTTTGCTTTGTTTGTAAGACCTTTCTCCTAAATCCTAAACTTAGGTATCCAGTTCCATGTTGGAAACTGCTCTTGTGTAGCTTACAGATCTAACTTCAATGTGTTCAAATGAAAATTCCTGGGTTGCTCATGGACCCCAGACTGATAGCTGGGAAACTAGCATAGGACTGTTCCAGACCTTCTGAATGAGGATGTCAATTTGGAGGTCTGGTTAACCTGTGGGGCCTCTGGTAGTGGATCAGTATTTATCCCTAGTACACGAATGGACTTTGGGAGCCCACTCCCCATAGAGGTATACTCTCTCAGCCAAGACACATGGGGGAGGGTCTAGGCCCTGCTCCAAATGATGTGACAGACTTTGAAGATTCCCCCATGGAAGGGTTCACCCTCCCTGGGGAGCAGAAAGGGGATGGGATAGGGGGTTCATGGGGGGCAGGGGAGGACTGGAGGGAGAAGAAAAGGGATTGACATGTAAAAGAAGCTTGTTTCTAACTTAAATAAAAAAGGGGGGAGGGAAGAAAATTCCTGTCTTCCCCATTCCTGCATCTTTGACAATTGGCAAATTCATAAGTCCAGTTTTCCATAATAAAACTATTGAAGCCATTATTGACTCCTCTTATTCTGTTGATCCTCACATTTTAATTTGTCAAGAAATATTGTAAGCCAGCACTACCAGTTAATAAGTACATTCTGGTAAGATGTATTGAAGACCTACATAGTTTCTATAATATTCTTGCTAAAAGATGTCCTACAATATCATGAGGGAATATCAGATAAATCCAAACTATAGAACATTCTACAAAAGACCTGACTCTTACTCATCAAAAGTGCCCAGCTATATGACAAGGAGCATCTATACACCCAGATTAAAGAAAACTGGGGACACAATTCCTGAAATCTGTGTGAGGTCCTGGAAGGAAAACAGGCACTGGGGAAGGACACTGGGGACAACAAGGAATCAAGAGAATAACATCTGTCATGTGTATATGCATTACAACAGGAAGAAACCAAATACAATCTGTAATTTGTGTTTATGAATGGTACATAATAGGTATATGAGCTAATATTGGGGGAACTGTGAAGGACTTATGGGAACTCTATACTTTGCAACATTTTTTTGTTTTGTTTTTATGAGACAGGGTTTCTCTGTATTGTTTTGGAGGCTATTGGTCCAGCCCGGCCTCGAACTCACAGAGATCCGCCTGCCTCTGCCTCCCGAGTGCTGGGATTAAAGGCGTGCGCCACCACCGCCTGGCTGCAACATTTCTATGACAAAACTATTTCAACAACAAGAGGAAATTTTGCTGGGGCTTCCTTCACAATTAATGTAGAATTAGGCTACCTATATCTATGAAAACCACTCTAGATTATACCTAGTGTATCCGTTAAGCCATTTTAAGCTTGACTACCATTTCTCAGTGAGGTTTACCTCCCTGTTTATTTAAAATTTCATCCATCTCTGTTCATTGTCAGTGTTCAACAAGCCAAGACTGAAAGTATTTGCATGCTATCCAAGGGGATGGGGGTTCTCAATAGAGAGATGGATACATACGCATGGGCTCTATCAAGAGAAGTAAGCTTGAGAATTGTCAGGATGTGTGTGGTGTTTGTAACAAAGATTGACTGTGTGCCCCAAGAAGAAGCAAACATAGAGAATAGGAGAATCAGGAGTGAGCCGTGGCCATTGCAACCTGAGTCTTAATGGGAGTTCCCAATCATCTTATATTTTTGTAATAATTACACTTTTCCCTTATAAGTTTTTTTCAGTTTCCAAGAAGCTGTCTACATTGTTTATTTGTCATCACCACCATTACCGTCCTCACCATCATCACCATCTTTATGAGCGATCTCCTACAACTCACATGTGAGCTTCGGATGTAAAGACTCATTTCTCCTCCCTCCCTCCCCCTGGCAATGTATCCCCCAAACCAAGAATACTTTTTGACACAGAGTAGACACTCTGTGAATACTTGTTGGTGTGTTGAATAAGAGGTAGGATAGATAAGAAATGGAAAGCACCTTGATAGGAAAAGTAAAGCAGACAGCACGATTTCCAGCTGTGGATGCAGTGACATCTTCCTGTGAAGATGTCTAACAGTATGCTTACTGCGTATCTCTGCAACTCAGAGGGCATATCAGGAATGGACAGAGAAAATGTACGTCTCTGGTAACTGTGGGCATGAGAAGAATGACAGTTGAAGGCTGCTTACTATCTATCTATCTGTCTGTCTGTCTGTCTGTCTATCTATCTATCTATATCTATCTATCTATCTATCTAGATGTAGATATATTCATCTCATGACAGTTGAAAGTGTGGGTGGGTGAACCCCTAGAAGGCAGGGGAAGGGGTGACTGAGCTGGGGGTGTTGATTAGGTAGTGATGGAAAACAGTTTAGAAATGAAGGTCCCTGCATGCTAGACTTGTGCTCTGGTGCCTTCAAAATTTGGCAGAGCACTAGCAGGCTCATGGCAAAAGGGGGAGGGTTACAGAATGAAGATGGAGCAGAAGCAAAGGGTGGTGGAGCAGAACCTCAAATGCCAATTCTATACAGTCAAACCAGTCTTAACATAGGTGGCATCACCCTGTTATACAAGAACCTGAGTTGGGGCAGGGGATGAGTGTACCAGTAGTGAGGTATAGGGACATTGGCCTAACTCTTAATTTTGTAAACTCCAACAGTTGGGAAGACACAGTGGCATTTCTATTGGTCTTTCTGATTATCACCTTGTCCTTTCCTTGGCACACAATTTTGTCATTACAGCTTGCACTTGGCAGAGATCTGATTCACTGGGGAAGGCAGAACTCTGTGTTTGCATGCTTTAAGGCAGAGATGAAGTCTACTTTGGCAAGCCCCACAAGGAAAGAGAGAAAAGAAAATAAGAGCCATAAATCCTCTGGGGGCCAGGATGCAGGATTAAAGACACTCGATCCATTTTAGTGAGTACTGCTAGCATGTGTTTACCTAATGGCAGTTTCCCCTCCTTTCAGACTCCGGTCCAGTCCTTTTCCATTAGTTTGAAGTGTGGAAGTGACATCTTACATGAGAAAATACCGTGGAGAAAAGGTAAGACTGTCATTCTACAGCAGTGACCTTCTGGGGGTCCCTGTGCTTAACCAGCATCACTTAGGAGAATTTCTCTTTCTCGTGTTTTTATTTGAGTGTATCTTCAGAAATAATAAACACTTGCAATTCAATGCCTGCTTCTCTGTGGCAAACACGGTAGAGAATGGCATGATTCCCATCTTTTAACTGGCCTGATCCCCTTGACAGCACTAATATGATCACATGTTCCTGAAGTCTTGGTTAAAATCAGATTCACAGGGAACACGCCCTTATAGACTGATAGACTTCTTTTAATAAACTCTGAGCTTTTAGATTTGTGTTCAATGAGACTGAACTTTAGTGAACTCGTCTTCCTTTTTAGATAGCCTGAGAGCAGCTCTACACCTCATCATGAGTCACCCAGCTAGTTATTGCCTGTTGGTTTTGGAACAAAATACTGCTGATCAAATCTATGATGTCGCTCTATACTTTGTGAAAAAGAACAATATATATATATTTGCCCAATTATACCTAAAGTTGAGAGTGCAAAATTTCATTATCATTTGCTTTTAGATGGAATGTAAAGACAATGCTAGCAGGGACCTGGACAGATAGTGTGGAGTGTCACTTGTCAGGGCCGGAAGAGTGTCTTCCATGGAGCCATCAGTGTGTATTTGAAGATGAAGCAACATGAAAAAGGGGGACCAGCAAGATGGCTCATTGGGTAAAGGTACTCACTACACAAGCTTGGTGGCTTCAGTTCAAGGTGAAAGGAGAGAGTTGGCTCCACACAGCTGTCATTTAATCTCTTCATACACACTGTGGCATGTAAGACAACCCCCCCATCGTGCATATGAGCACACACGCTCCATAAGAGCATAAACTTTTATAAAGACAAGAGGAGGAATCTGTATTTTGGAGCCCCCCTGCAACCCTTTATGCCGTAGCTCTAACACAGTCAAAGGCAGCCTTCATATGACAGCTTGCCAGTTAATTGTTGGCAATTAGAATGTATTTACTCAGAGAGGCAGAAGGAGAGCGGGGCTTCCTCTTTCAGTGTGTTCCCAGTGTGATGGCACATGTACTAAACAGCTGAGTGTGCCATGAGTAAACATTTGAGGGCTGAGTACATAGGCAATCAGCCAATGGCAAGCCATTCTATTGGATTCCAGGAATAAGGGGAGTCTGGCAAACCCATTGTCACACTGATAGAGGGGACAGTGATGGACTTACCGCTGGTCACAAGAGGAGCATGTCTCCGCCTCTTGCACACTCCTGAGAAGGAATCACAGTCCAGTTGGGAAGGGGACAGTTAGGGCTGCATCTGGGGTGTCTCTGGGCTACTCAACCACCTTTCCGGACCATTATCCCCACCTAGCAACTTACCAACGTCCCACCAGAAGAGAGTTTCCAATTTGCAATCTCCCTCCCCATAACGTTTGAGTTAAGATTTGAACTTCAGAGCTTCTGGAGTTTTGAAGGAAAGGGAGCAAAAATGAACAAAATTTTGTGTCCATTTTTAGAGCATGCACGACCAACATGACA